GGGTTCCGCATGAAGTTATACCTAGTTGAGAATCAAGCATTTCTAACGAGCCCCGAAGGGATATTTTCTCTTTGTGCAAACAGTCCTTTTGTGTAGAGGGAATTCTGTGGCTTCTTGGCAGACACAGGTGGAAAACACCTCAGTGAGCACCACTTACTCTCTGCTAAGTTTAGAGCTATGCATTGCATGTCAGCAAGCCAGTCCTGGGCTATGGGTAGCTTCTCTGCATACTGTGCTGGGAGCCCCTCCTTGGATGACCTCACGGTACCTGAGCCCTCAGTGTCCAGCACTGAATCTAGTTGCAGCCTGTTTAGATCTGTGATCCCAACTGTCTTAGAGTTTCTGTTGCTTGGTTAAAACACCATGACCAAAAGCAGCTTAGAGAAGAAAGGGTTTATTTCATCTTTCAACTCTCAGGTCACACTCCATCACTGAGGGAAGTCAGGGTAGGAACTCAAGTCAGGAACCTGGAGGCAGCAACTGATACAGAAACATGGAGGAGTGCCGCTTACTGGTTTGCTCCTCATGGCTTGCTCAGCCTCCTTCTTTCTTTATACAACTCAGGACCACCTGCCCAGAGTTGGCACCACCTGAATCAACCATTAATCAAGAAAATGCCAGGCAGATTTGCCTTATAAAGGCAATTTTCTCAATTTAAGAATTCTTCCCAAATTACTGTAGCTGTGGCAAGCTGGCAAACAAAACAAAACAAAAAACAACTAGGCAGCACACTAAGTTGTCCAGGGAACAGAGAGAGAGGTGCTACCAGAGTCACTTGTCCCAGGGCCTGCCAGTCAGCAGCATGGGGCTAAGTAGGTGCTGATTACCCGTGGGCAGGATGGCAACTGACTCTGTTTCACAGAGTAGCGATGGGACAGGAAAAGGGTGGGCACAGAGAAATCCAAGGCAGCATCTATTCAGGTGGCCACGCCACAAAGCCAGGGCTTGAGTACCTGTGAATGTACCTGGTCAGAGCTGCTAGGTAGCTCTGGTGGAGCTCGCAGACAACAGCAGCATCCAAACCTCAGACTGAGCTATCAAAAGTTACCAAGCAAACAGTCTTAAGGCTACACTATTTGCCAGACAGAGGGAACATGGGGCAGGGCTTGTGGCAGCCCCTCGGGAGTTCATTGTGGAAGCTGGGCATGGAGGCAGATGGGTAATCTCACACTCAAGAGGCAGAGACAGAGGGATAGAGTTCCAGGGCAGCCTCGGCTACATAGAAAAACAAAATGGAAAGCGCTGGGAGCCATGTCAGAGGTATAGCAGATGGTAACTAATATTTAAGGTTTTAGCCCACCGGGAGGAAAACTCTGATGGGAAAACCTTGTTAGACACGGCTACTGACTCCGGAATATCTTTTCTTCTGTTATAACTTCATGTGTGCTGCTGCAGTCTTTCCCTGGTGGCTGTGGGGAGTCCCCCCCACTGCTACTATCCTAGTGTGTTTATCTCATGAATGCATCTCAATCTACTGGGCATTTTTATCTGTGGACTATCAGGAAGATGACTCCTCCTTAAGCTGTGTTGTCTTATGGACATACAGCTGAGCTGCCTGATTTGTTGGGTTAATGTTTGAAGTGTGAAGCAACCTAACTGCTGCATGTAGTTTCCTTACTAGGTCTGGCTGATAACGTAGGACAATGATTAATTCTCTGCATAGATTTCTGACATCAGTTTTCTGATATGGGCATGTACCCTGAAAACTCGAAGTTCATCTAACTAACTGGTTTTTGTTGTTGTTTGTTTTTTGAGACAGGGTTTCTCTGTGTAGCCTTGGCTGTCCTGGAACTCACTCTGAAACCAGGCTGATCTTGATCTCACAGAGATCCACCTGCCCTCTGTCTCGTAAGTGCTGGGATTAAAGGTGTGCACCAGCATTGCCTGGCTACACCCGTTTTTTATGTATAAAAATACTGGGTCCTGGAATTGTGCAGGTGATAGGGAGCTAATAACCAAGGTCTAGAAACAAATGGCTTTGGTTCAGAAATACTGCGGGTAAAGATTTCATGGCTGGTCAAGACTATAGAAAATAATGACCTTATAGCCCTGAGAAAGAGTTACAAGTTTCTTTTTCATGGGTATGGAGGCAGATGGGTAATTTCATACAGGAGGCAGAGACAGAGGGATAGTTCCAGAGCAACCTGGACTACAAAGAAAAACAAAATGGAAAGGGTATTATGACTGAATACACCAACCCAGAATCAGCACTGAGCACAAGAAATGTGGCCACTATTTCCGGCACTAGTTTTCTTTGGCTGTGAGTAGTCTCCCGTGATGGAAAAGGATGTAATGGACAGCCACCAGGAGGCAGATGAGTGGCATCCGTGTCTCTCAGCAGCTGGCCAGCTGATCTGGGAAATGTCTAAGGGGATGAGTGCCCTTGACTACTGGCCTGGGGCCATGCCTCTGCCTCTGGAAGCCATAGTCCCACCCCACCCTGCTTTGTTCTGGGAACTCGAACATTGCATGCATGGAACCTCAGGTGCTCCTTCTGGGTGGCACTTCCATTCTGTGACTCCTTTGCTGCAGCTGACAGGAAGCTGCTGTTTACCCCGACACAGGGACAACTTTCATGGAGGCCTCATGGCTCAGCTAATGAGGACGATGAAACAACTTCCAAAGGAAACAGAAAGAAAACAGCTCAAGTTGCCAGAATGGGCATCTGGGCTCTGGGAAGAAACCACACAGCCCCCATCATGCAGACCATGTACTCAGTACAGGGGTACCCAGAGCATCATATGTACAGACACAGCACTGAGGTTCCTCCATGTCCCATTCCCTCTGTTGTGTTTTTTTTCTGGGGAGACTTGAACAAACATCCCTCCACCCCACATTGGACACAGATGATAGGAAAAGAAACGGTCTCACTCAAGTCTGGCTTAGTGAACCAATGACTTCACTGGGGTTACTTGCTGGAGCATTGTTGGCTCGACGGCAGCTTTCATGAAAGCTGCACGCCTGGAGCTCCTGTCCAACCTGCAGGCGGCGCCACTGGTGAGTGCTCTCTCTCTCCCGGTGGTAATTGATACTGTTTTTTGTCGCTTTGGGGAGGAGCCTCGAGAGTCTTGGACATAAGTCCTGTGAGCCTATTTCCTCAGAGGCAGGAAAGATGTTCCAATCTGGAGGAAGCAGCTCTCCAACCATCATCAGCTTATGGACAGAAGAGTCCCAGGAAACCCATGGCACTGACTACTACCTCCAGGTCTGTGACAAGGAAGGGGCAGGGAAGGTTCAGCAGAGCTGTGAGATGAGGCCTCCTGAGGCAGCCATAGTGACCTACACAGGCTCAGACAGCATCTCCAAGGGCCCTGGGGAAAGGCAACTAAAAAGGCAACTGGAGGGCTCCACAGGACATCGCCGCCCAGCGCTGCTAGGATAGCACAGCACGGTTTGGGCATGGACAAGAGCTGGACTGTCTTTCCCACTCATAGGTGGGCCCCCAATTTTCCTACAAACAACCTACCCCCCTCCACACACACTTTCTTTGACCAGATCTTTCTTCATAGTCCAAGCTGGCCTGGGACTGAGAGATCCTCCTGCCTCTGCCTCCTGAGTGCTGGGATTAAAGTTCAGACTCCACCCAAACTTCTTCTAAGGAGGCCACCGAAGCACTGTCCTGTAGCCCAGTGACTCACACCCTACAAGCCCCATAAATGGATGTTGTCAGACTTCCTTTGTACTGCCAGTTCACAAATAATGACACGGAGACTTTTTATTTGTTTATTTCCATTTTTTAATTTAAATTAGAAATTTAAATTAGAAACAAGATTGTTTTACATGTCAATCCCAGTTCCTTCTCCCTCCCCTCTTCCCCTGCCCCCTACTAACACCCTACCTATCCGATACCCTTTCTGCTCCCCAGGGAAGCAGAGGCCTCCCATGGGGGGGTGGTCTTCAGAGTCTGTCATATCCTTTGGGATAGGGCCTAGGCCAACCCCCTTGTGTCTAGGATCAGGGAGTATCTCTCTATGTGGGATGGGCTCCCAAAGTCCATTCCAATGCTAGGGATAAGTACTGATCCACTACAAGGGGCCCCATAGATTTCCAAGGTCTCCTCACTGACACCCACATTCAGGGGGTCTGGATCAGTCCCATGCTGGTTTCCCAGCTATCAGTCTGGGGACCAAAGGCTCTCCCTCATTCAGGTCAGCTGTTTCTGTGGGTTTCACCAGCCTGGTATGGACCCCTATGCTCATCCGTCCTCCTCCTCTGCAACTGGATTCCAGTTCAGTTCAGTGTTTAGCTGTGGGGGTCAGACAGCAGCTGCTGGATGAAGGCTCTAGGATGGCATATAAATTAGTCATCAATCTCATTATCAGGGGAGGGCATTTAAGGAAGCCTCTCCTGTTGCTTAGATTGTCAGTTGGGGTCATCCTTGTAGATCTTTGGACATTTCCCTAGTGCCTGATTTCTCTTTAAACCTACAACGGCTCCCTCCATTATGGTATCTCTTATTTTGTTCTCTAAAGAGGAGGGATGAGGACAACATGAGGGAGTAGGAAGGTTGAGTCAGGGGAAGAATAGAGGAGAGCAAGAGACTTTTTATTAATTTTATTAATAAAATTTTATTAATTATGAAAGCTTGGTCTTATCTTAGGCTCATTCTCAGCTAGCTCTTATAACTTAAATTAATCCATTTATAGTAATCTACATTTTGCCATGTGGCTGGTCACCTCTCCTCTATACTGTGTGTCTGACTCCCTGAGTCTCAGTGGCTAATCCACAAGCCTCAGATTATTCCCTAGTTCCCATCTCTCCATGGAACTTCCGCCTATTCTCTCCTGCCCAGCTATTGGCCATTCAGCTCTTTATTAAACCAATCAGAAGGCACCTTGGGCAGAGACACATCTTCGCAATGTAGAGAAAGATGATCCCACCCCATGGATAGCTGTGACTTTCTGTCTGGTCCTTCACTCCTGCCTAGGTCACCTGGGATGGAGAGCTATTGTATTAGCTGCTTTCCTCACCACTGACCAAACAACAGAACAGAAGCAACATAAGATAGGAAGGGTTTATTTGGCTTATGGTTTGAGGGCACACAGTTCCCTATAGTGAGATCACACTGCATGTAGTAGGAAGAACAGTGGGCAGGACAGAAACGGAGCTATAAACGCAAGGCCCACCCCAGGGATCCACTTCTTCCAGAGTCTCTCTCTCCTAAAGGTCCACAACCTTTCCAACTGGCAACACCATCCGGGACCAAGCGTTCAGACACACAGGCTGATGGGGGCATTCACACCGGAACTGTAATTAATGGGCATGGTCCTGTTTCTCCCTGCCCAAGACACAAGAAGAAGCTCTAGCATCCTTCCCCCTCTCCCTTTTGTTTGTCCCTTCCTCTTTTTTTCTCCCCTGCTCTCCCTCCCTCGGGAATTCTGGAAAAGGGTAGGGGGTTGAGGCCTCCTTTGCCTTAGACTTTGTCCTGATTTCAGAGGTTCAAAGCTACAGGGCCTGGTACTTAGGGACTTGGTATCAGAACTTAAATAGGGTAACACAGACAGGACACCTGGGACAGGTAGCAGGTCCCTGGGGGAGTCTGGGAGAACGATGAGCAGTGTGTCTGGCTGGCACTCTAGCAGGGACTTTCTCCACAGGGAGTGGAGAGGCCTGTGGCAGTGATCAAGGACTGCTTTGGTGACCTGGGTCAGACTACTCACTAGGTCCACAAGCTTCTGTCTATGCGGATCTAGCTGGCCCATCCTGTGTCTGCCAACTCCAGGACAGCCAGCCCCGTCACAGAGCTCTGCTGATCAGAGTCTGCTGAAGGTGGCTCCTAATTCATAGCTTATTACAGGGAATACTCCCTCCTGTCCTTGGAGACTAAGTGACACCTTTTATACATGTGGCAGTTGAGCTTCCCATTGCATATAGAGATTGCAAGCTGGGGGTGCAGTTACTGTGGTAACATCTCAGGGCTTCATTTGGAGCCAAACCTTTCACAGACATACAAAGAGGAGCAACCAGGAAGCCCTCTGAAGATGCTGGGTTCCCCTGGCAACTGCATCCCTCAGTGTGGGGCAAAAGGCTCATCCTCCCAACCAACCTGCAGCAGGCCACATTCCCGTCTCCCAACCATTTCTTCTTCCAGTTGAGTTTCTTAGCTTCCCATGTACGGACATCTTTGGGACTGTGTTTAGCCAACTTGTCACCAATCTAACTGAACCTTCTCTGGCCCTGGAGCTGTGACACCAAGCCATAGTTCTTGCTACGAATATTTCACCCGGGGCCACACACTCCTTTCCTGTCCTCCCACAGTGTCCTCTAGCTTGGAGACACCAGGCTGTACCGTGGCACAGACACATCTGGCCTCGGCAGGCGAGGTGTGATATTTAGTCACAGAGCAGGGGTCCAGAGCGGAGTTGGGGCTCTGAGATCAGCAGGGTCTGGCAGCGCAGCACTTGGTGCTGCAGCTCTTCTTCGGGGGTACAGGTTCTTCTGGAAATGATGGAAGAAGAAAGGTCTGAGATCCTCACTTCTTAGCTGCATCCTCGCCTTCACAGTCTGGTTTCTCCCTGTCAACACTCCCTCAGAGGCTGCTCACCAGTCAGCCACATGTTGAAGGAGGCTTTGGGCGCTTGCTCACTCCTAAGCAAGCCTCGTTACTCCATGACCCACAAGGCTGTGCTTATGCCCTGTGCACTGCACTCCGGTGCGCGTGGCCTGTCTCAGCTTGTTTCCCTGGCCTCTTGCAGGTTCACTGGGAGTCAGAAGCTAGCGCCTCCTTCCCTGACGACCCACTCCGCCTCCCTGTATAGGAAGCCTTGTTTCATCCCTTCCTCAGCCTTGCATGTCAGGAGTTCCTCAACATTTCTGGGGCAAGAGCCAGGGGGAAGTGGCAGACAGCCACTGTGCGACTGACAGGCTCCCAAGGCCAAGCCCTGAGTACCTGCACCCAGACTGCCTGCTTGGGGATCTGACTGCTCCCATCCTAAGGGGAGAAGACAGGGACATCTCCATGGAAAGGTCCCACCTTGAGCCTTCGGGTTGGTAATGGGAAATTTATTGTCAAATATGTCCAGGCTGGCTATACTACCAGGTCTAAGCTATGCCTCTTACCAAGCTACAGGTGCCAGGTGTCTATCATCAGGCGCTGTCATCTGAATGACAGGTCACAAAAGGAACAGAGAACCTTATGAAGAAAGTGGATTCCACAGACCTTTGGCCATAATTTGGTGTCCTCAGAGGCCCTTGAGGACCTTCCACAGGGCTGGGTCAAGACTGGATTAAGACAGCAGTGTCTGACAGCTAAGTCATGAGCAGGGGTAGAGTGACCAGATGCTGATACGCTGGTCTTTAGACCCTGCAGCAAGCAAGCCATCAGTGGCGAAGGCCACACAGTATACAGAAGCACTGTGGAAGGCCAGGACAGCCAGTGGCTTCATTGTCCTCCAGTGAAACACCCGGATGCGATGGTCCCAGCCTGCTGTGGCTAAGATTTTGTGGTCTGGCCGGATGGTGACTTCTGCAATCCCAGGATTGGTGAGTTCATGAGTCTTGTACACCTATAAGCAAGCAAAGAAAGAAGAAGAATTAGGTTGCTCTTGGGTCTGCTGCAGTCCTTGGCCACAAATATCTCTTCCCTGGCCTCTGCCACAGGTTCTTGTCCATCTGGCCTCTTCCCCAACCCCAAGGTCATAGCAGGGGCTTCCCTAAGCCCATACAACTCTAGCCCTGGAGGAACCTGGGAGGCCAGGTCTTGGGGTCTCAGTGTGGAGGAGATAGAATAGTCACTGTTTTCCTGGAGGAGCCTCCATTGAAATTTGTGGCATGTGGGAGATGCAAATTCCATCAACAATAACACCAAGAAACAAATGAGACCTGGAAACATGGAAGGGGTTCCTAGACTGCCTAGTGAAGGGGTTGGCAGAGTGGACAGCCTTGAATGTGCCTCTCAAGAATTCACGGTCAGAAACAAATTCACCTATTAATGCTACCTAAGGTGGGGTATTTGGCAAGGAACTGGAGCTATGTGAAATGATGAGGCCTATTAGTGGCTTTCTCAGAGGAGGAGACCTGAGTGGCAGCCTGTTCTGTCTTGTCTAGGGATAGTCCCCATGTTGTGACTGGCACTCAGCAGATGTAGGCTTTTGAGCCTCCTGGACTTCAGCACTACTAGCCAAACAAACTTGTATGTATTTGAGTGTTTTGCCTGTACATATATCTGTGTGCTATGTGTGCAGGGCCCACAGAGGCCAGAAGAGGGTGTCGAATCCCCTGAGACTGGGGGTACAAGACAACTGTGAGCTGTCATGTGGGTACTGAGAATCGAACCTGGGTCCTCTGCAAGAACAGCTAGTGTTCTTAACCACTGAGCCTGCTCTCTGGCCCTAAGCTTCTATTCTTGAGACACTACCTAGGCTTAGCAGTCTTAGGCATTTTGTTGTAATAGAAAATGGAGTAAGGTACAGGACAAGGGAAACAGCACTGGAGGGGGGAGAAGGAATCCAGATGTGCTCTTCACTAGCTATGGAACCCCCATTTCCCTGGCAATGTGGTTTTGTCCTCTATATATTCTCTGCAGTGCCATTCACCCCTTTGCCCTTGCCAAATGCAAGACCAATGTGGCCACACAAACTTTAAACTCCTAGAACTTTAAGCTAAATAAAAATTCCTTTATTAAGTTAGTCTGCCCCAGGTTCTTTGTTATAGTAATGAAGGCAGCCCTCTTGGTTACACAGGCCCATCCTATACACTGAAGGCACTTGACAGCTCTGTTCCTGTGACTGGCCTGCCTCTGAGCCACAAGCTTTCTGTGAGTCTTTTGTCTTCAGTGCCTTCTGGAAGGACCACATCACCTTTTGCAGACAATGACTCATCTCCACAAAACGACAAGGAGGCTGGGCATAGTGGCCCATGCCTTTACCCTAGCGCTCTGGAGGAAGAGGGACAGGTGGTCTCTGTGAGTTTGAAGCCAGGCTGGTCTACATAAAGCATTCCAGGACAGCAAGGGCTATATATTGAGATTTTGCTTTAAAGAAGGAAGAAGGGGGGGGGGTAAGAGAGGAAGGAAGGAAGAGAGGGAAGGAGGGAGGGAGGGAGAGAGGGGAAGGAAGGAGACACAAGGAATAAAAGAAGTAGGAAAAATGAATGGTAGTATCCATGGAAATCAGTAGAAATGGTCACAGAGCAATTTAGCTACAAATTAACAAAATACAACCTGATGAAGTAGGTTATTCCTAAACCAATCACTGTGGGACTTGGCAGGGCTCAGGATTAAGGGAATGAGCACCAATGGAGACCTTGAATGAGGTAGGATGGGGTTCGGCGTGCAGGAAGATTAAGAAATAAACCAAGTGAGAACAAAACAGTTACAATGGGCCAGAGAAAACATGGCAGGGGAGGGGAGGGCAGGGCAACAGACAGTAACTCAATCTATTGAAATAGAAATTTTAGGGTCTAAGTCCAAAGAAAGGCTGTAAGAGTATTCAATAGTAAGATATGTTCTAAAATTATTAGGGCTAAGAGTGAAGACAGACTTCCCAATAGTCAGGTAAAAATAATAAATAAATAAATAAATAAATAAATAAATAAATAAATCACATGTCAGATGAGGGTACAGTAGAAACTGTCACCAGAAAGTTCCAGTGCTACATGTGTGCCAGCAGAGAGCAGGGCAATGCTCATACAGGCAGAAGAGGAGTATGGTCCAAGAGTTTTATATCCAGCCAAACTGTCACTCAACTGCGAAAACAGTAGACAAACATTTTTGAACATGTAAGAGCTGAAAGAATATTGCTCCCGTAAGTCCTCCTGGAAGAACAAGAAGATTAACTCCAGCCTCGAAGGAGATGGCTAGAGAACTACAGCGAACGGTCTGGCAGACAGCACTGAGTCTACTTACCTACAGGATTAGGCACAAGACATGGGGATTATGGCTTGGAGAACCAGTTATGTAACTAACAGAAGCATGGGCGGGTGATGAGCAAGATGGGGTGCTGCTGAGAGCTTGCTCATTGTTTGACCTCACATTTGAGATGATCTGACCCGACCATAGGTGACTGCAACTCAGTGCATTTTCTTCCCCTCTCCCACCTGAGAGCTGAGGCCTTAGTTTTCTGGGATCTGTATATGATAATACCAAAATACCAAAGCAATAAAAATATAAGTATTCTCTGGTTTAAATGATTAAATTCCATCCGAAGTTGAATCCAAATCTGAGGTACGTAGGGACTTCAAAGGGTCAAACAGCAGATAGGCCAGAACACAAATGAGAGAAGCTGGGGATCATTTGGGTTCCAAACCCAAAGCGGTATGTAAGGTAAAACTGATCAAAGGTACAGCTCACACTCAAGTTGTGACTGTGTTCAGCAAACAGGCACATCTTTCATAAAGTGGTTACAACAGTGTCCAAGCCTAACTAGTCATCTCGCTGGAAACAACCGTGAAGGTGAACAAAACACACAAGGTAATTGTTGACAGGCCCTAGATAGCAGGCAAGGTGGGGCCCTGGCATTCTCTGCCTGGGGACAATATCTAGCCAGACTATAACAGTCACATTTAGTTGAGGAGACAGATGAAATCTGGGACAGCTAGAAGGCTGAGACCTGTGAGGATAAAGGTGGTGGAATGGAGGTAGATGGGTGTAGGGCCTGTAGGGAGACCTTGTTTGTCCTCTAGGCTCTGTATGTTCACAGCAGATGACAAGCTTAGCAGAGAGAGGCTGCTGCAGGGCAAGAGGTCAACAGGGAGAGCTAAAGGCAGGCTGGGCACCAGGCCCTCATCAGGAATGAGTTCGGCCTTCTCTACATATCTAACAAAGTGAGAAGCCAGGTCTGGCAAGGCCTGAGCGGGGCTGGGGTTGCAGTGCCACCACAATGAAGGCGGCTGAGGTGGCTTTTCCACAAACCTGCCCCAACACAGCATGAAGCTGTGCCCACACAAGTCCAATGTGAACAGCCAGCCGCTAAACCCATTGCTAGAGAAGAGGCCAATGTGCATCAGCACAAAATAACAGAATTCAGTGTCTTCATCACGTGCCATTTACAATGTCCAGCACATTAACAGTAGTTACTAGACACACAGAAAGGCAGGGTATGTGTTCCACAATCAAGGGAAAATCCAGTTAGTAGAAACTGATCCCCAAATGATACAGGTACCAAACATACCAAATAAGGACATCTATGAAAGGAAAAGGGCCATGCAGATCGCACCAAGCCTGAAAACCTGAGAATGAACATTCAGGACCCACGGAGAAACCCAGGAAGGAGGTGGTGCGACCCACCTGTAATCCTGATACTTGGGAGGCAGAGACAGAGGATCTTGGGCCAGCTAGCTATCTAGACTAGTTGGAACTGGGGAACTCATGCTTCAGCAATAGACCCTGCCTTGATAAACACAGTAGAGAATTATCAAGGAAGACACTCAATGTCAGCTTTAGGGTTCCATACACATGCACATGCTCATATGTGAACACACATATCCTTACACGTGAACATGCATACACAAACACACGAACACTACACATACACAAGAATTAAAGAAAAATACATTAAGATAATTATAAAAATATTTATGTGAATTAAGTAGATAGGAATTACTAGTAAATAGTAAAACTTATCAGTTAGAATAAAATGGACAGAACAGGGGTAATAGCAGACTAGAAATTGTTTTATAAAGAAGTGAACCGGGCGAGGTGGTGTAGCTCAGTGGTAGAGCGTGTGCTTAGCATGCACGAGGCCCCGGGTTCAATCCCCGGCACCTCCAGTTCTCAGGGTACCTCGTCTTTGCCGGGCGTTGGTGGCGCATGCCTTTAATCCCAGCACTCGGGAGGCAGAGGCAGGCAGATCTCTGTGAGTTCGAGCCTAGCCTGGTCTCCACAGTGAGTGCCATGATAGGCTCCAAAGCTACACAGAGAAACCCTGTCTCGAAAAACCAAAAAAAAAAAAAAAAAAAAAAAAAAAAAAAAGTGAACCGGATCAGTGAGCTGGCTCAGAAGGCAAAGGTGCTTGCTATGAAGCCTGACAACCTAACTGATCCTTGGGACCCACAGAGTAGGGGAAAACCCACTCGTGCAAGCTACCCTCTGACTTCTGCATGTTCACTGTGCACATGCAGAGCACACAAACACACAAAATAAGTAGATAAAGTGTTCTTCCAGATACAGGGGTTGGACTCTGGATAGGACTTGAGCCCACAAGGAAAGTGTCAGAGCTGGCAGATGCTGATAAATACTGAACACTGTGTGTGTGTGTGTGCTTGTGTGTGTGCATGTGTGTGTGCATGCGTGTGTGCTTGTGGTGTGGCAGGGGATCTCAGTGGGAAGAGTGTACTGGCTGCTCCTTAGCACCTATGTGGGAGCTCACAGCCACCTGTAACTCCAGCTCCAGGGATCCATGCCTTCTTCTACATGGCTACACAGGCACTTGTATACATGGAATACATTCATACATAACACAGAAACAAAAACTAAAAAGTAAATCTTTAAAAAGTACTGTAGTTTGAAGTTTTAAAAAAAAACTGTTTAAAGCGAAATTAATATAAGAAGGTGATGTATGCAGAAGCCCAGGAATGTTCTGGCAGGCAACAGTAGTGAGAACACCTCACAGCACATGTCTTAGAATATACCCACTATTATACACATGCACACACACACACACACACACACACCTACATATAACTTAAGGAAGAATGGGCTATTTACAAGGAGGAAGCAAGCATCTGAAATGCTTACAGAACTCACGGCACTGCAAAGATCATAAAGCAAAACTGGCAGAAATAAAGGTGAACTGGGTACAACAGGCCAGGGTTCTAAGACCCTTCCTTGGGAACTGGCAGAAAACTACACTGCAGCCCAAATCAGTAAGGACTTGAACTGTAGACTGGCTCACATGACTTATGTCCAGCTGACATAAAACTGCCCAACATCTGTACTGTACCTGTCTTCTCTAGGTGTGTGAGGTCTGCTTTCATAGACAATGCCACATGCAGGACCAGATTAGGTCATGCAGTCACAAACAGAGACAGACAACAGGATTAACTAGATTAAAGATAACTACAGAATCAATCAGTATTTGGAAATTAGCTAATTTCTTCTAAAGAATTCATGGATCAAAGAATAAAATCACATGAAAAATAGATTTGGGTTGGGCCTAGTGAATCTAAAACTCACAAGGGCTGGCTTTGAGCTCCTGATGGTCTTGCCTCTACTTCCAGCACTGAGATTGTAGGCATGAGGTACCAGGCTGGACTTTGAAGTTGATGTAAAACAAAGACATGCCAGGTGGTGGCAGTGCACACCTTTAATCCCAGCCAGGAGGCAGAGGCAGGTACATCTCTGAGTTGGAGGCCAGCCTGGTCTACAGAGTGACTTCCAGGATAGCCAGAGCTATACAGAGAAACCCTACCTTGAAAAACAAAACAAAACAAAAAACAAAGACACAATGTCTAAGAAACCTGTCTGGTATCCATTTTTGGAGATATCTAGGCTGGGGGTTGATCTGCCAACAACCAGTGCAGGTGGGCCCCACAGAGGCCCCTCCAGAACACAGGTGCATCAGAGCCTACTCACTGTACTGGGCCCCCTGAGATCCCACCAAGCAATTGAAACATGGCCTTGATTTGTGGGAGGAGGGCTGACATTCAAGAACTCCCCAGCATGCCAGGCATGGTGGTGGGGCATGCCTTTCTTTACTCAGGAGGCAGAGGCAGGTGGGTCTCTATGAATTTGAGTCTAGCCTATAGCAAGTTCCAAGACAGCCAGGACCATATAGAGAAATCCTGTGTCTCAAACAACAACAAAACCTCAGGACTATTTATGGTATAAAATGCGACCCTCTGGGCTGGTGTGGTACACAGGCCATCTCAGTATATAGGAGATGGAGGCAGGATCAGAAGTTCAAAGTCATTCTTGGCTACATAGCAAGATTAAAGGAACTTCGGGCTGCATGAATCTGTCTCAAAAATTAAAATAAGGGGGCTGGAGAGATGGCTCAGCCATTAAGACTGTTCTTCCAGAGGACCCGTGTTGGATTCCTAGCCCCCATGTTAGCTCACAGCCATCTGTAACTACATTTTCAGGGAGCCCATCGCCCTCTTCTGGTCTCTGCTAGTACTGCACAACATGGTTAACATAAAACACACATAAAATTTTTAACAAAAATTTTAAACAAAAGAAAATTTTAAAAGAATGAAAAAGGAAAAGAAAGCATCAGTATGGCAAGAGCTAGCTCCATAAGACACAACTACATCTTGAAGGGCCAGGAAGGGCTAAGAAAACCTAAAACCCACATAGGAAACTCAGTATAAATGGCACCAACAGTCAGTGGATAGACTTCTTTTCCAGAAGGTGACTGAAGAAAACCAGGAAGAGAATTATTTTATTGGCTATTCCTAAGCTAACTTTCAAACACATAAAGCAAGAAAGGATGGGACTACGGAACAGGGAGGGAGAGGGCCACCGTGAAGGTCTCTTGTAGCTCAGGGCCTTGGCCACGTGTGTTCCTGGGCAGGCATCTATGTGTGCAGCTGTGTATCCAGAGAGACAGACATTTCTTCTCGAGCACATGTGGACCACTGATGCAAACTGAACCAGCTCTCTGCATTTCAAAGGACTGAAGTCATTCAGACCTTGTTCTCTGACCACAATGTAATTAAGTTAGAATTTGAAAACTAGAAGATAACTGAGGTGGGGGGGGGGCTGAGGAATCAAACATTTGGAACAAAAAAAAAAAAAACCCACTCCAAATCAGCTCATCTCAAGGCCAGAGAACAAATAAATACAGGGTCTACCTAGAAGTGAGGGGTGATGACACCTGGTAGTGTGGGAACCAGCTACAGGAGTACCTCATAGGGACAAGGGCAGAGCAACTGGGACTGACAGGTGCCATGTCCAACATGAGTTAGTTAGAAGGACTGAGTATGCCCAAGGACCACAAGAAGAGACAAGAACAGGAATGAAGAATGTGCCTGACATTCACATACCAGTCACGAACACCCACAAAATGTTCATTAGACAAATACAGAGATTTCCACACTTAAAGTGAAAAGTCTAGAAAATCATGCCTCCCCCCACCCCACAGTCCAGCATGCAGAGTCGAGACTGAAGCAACTCAGGCCAACTGCGTGCTGGGCAACAAGAGGCCAAGGTCTTGCACTCTGCACCCCCAGCTCTGAAGCACACCAGCAATGAAGAGGTTAATTCATGCCTACACTAGGCCTCTGAGCAGGAGAGCAGGGGCTTCTGCAGCTTCTAGCCCCTTAATGCCACCAGCAGAACTGTGTAGTGGAAAGCTTGGCTGCCAGTCAAATGCAGATGCAAACTCTTGCTGCATCGGGTGGGTTATCTTAGTGCTATTCTGTGACGTGGGCCAGAATGGTCTTGAACTCCCTCAGCCTTCTCAAGAGCTGTTACTACAGTTAAACACTGCCACAGCAGGCTTTATTTTCTTACTTTGATACCTAAAGTGAAAACAATTGCATTTTCTAAATTAACAAAGTCAAGAAGAAAACCCAGGGCCACAAAGATGGCTCCATTGGTAAAAGTGTTGGCTAAGCAAGTACTGGACCCTGAGTTTGGACTGCCAGCATCCACACAGACAACCTAGAGCAATGGTGCTTGCCTGTAACCCAGCACTTGGGAGGTGGCTGCAGGAGGGTACCTGGGGCTTGCTAGCAGCCAGGCTAGGTGAATTGATGAGCTCCAGGTTCAGCAAGAGACTCTTTCTCAGCCAGCCAGCCAGCCAGCCAGCCAGCCACACACACACACACACACACACACAAATACACACACACTGCTCTTGCACCCATGTCAGGCAGTTCACAACTGCCTGTAACTCCAGCTCCAAGGGATCTAATATCCACTTCCGGCCTCTGCTCACGTGCACATACACATATTTTAAAATAAAACAAATCTTAAAAAAAAATAGAGTGGAGAGTGACCAGTGAAGATACCAGAGGTCAACTCTACCTGCACAAGCATACACACACACACACACGCACATACACATATCTGTACATACATGAACACACATACAGAAATAAAAGAATAAGAAAGCCCATGTCAGTCAGAAGAGGCAATGGACACATCTGTCAAAACCTAGCACCCATTCACAGTCCAGTTCATCGCCACAGATATGGAAAAACTTCACCCAGGGAGAACCTGTCACTACCCACTGGGTCCTAACCAGTGCCACCAGCAACTCAGTCCTCCAGCTTTCTCGTTGCCATGCTCTCCCCTGCCCTTTAAGAACCTGCTGACACCCTGCCCCAGGCTCCGGCAACTTCTTGCCCCTCTGCGGTCTCTTGTGGACTGGATATTCTGTCCACCTTCTATGTTTTCACCTGGCAGAGCCCCAGCCTTATTCTAAATGTTCCCCCCTGGTGTGTGGGCACAAGCTGTAAAAAGGGCTGCAGCGAGCAGCTGTCCAAGAGCTCAGGTGGGTCCCCTGTGTGCAAGCCATCTGTCTGCTGATGTGTAACCTTCAACTCCACCTCTACATTGTGGGTTCCACACACAGTCTGCACTCCAAGTCGGCACTGGGGCAGGATGTGGGGCAGATGTTGTGGCATGGTGCACCTGAGCATGTGCGTGGGGCCTGCCCATGCCTGCAGACAGATCCAGTTGCTCTTCCTGAGACTGGAGTCCTATCTATCTATGGTTCTGGGGGAACTGGGGACTGGGAACCTATTCAGCAGACTGGACTGATACTGTTTTATCCTTGTCTCCCTGGGAATGTTGGCTTGGTCAAGGTGGAATGGGAACTGTTAGGCACAGAGGAGCCCCACTGGAACCCACCAGGGCCCCATTTCAGGGACACTTCCATTCTATCTCCTTGTCCCAGGAACTTAACACTGCTGATTCCCGGAGAGATGAGACAGTATTTTAACCCTATGCCTGGCTGCAAAGTACTATGTGCCCTGGCGTGAAGGTCCAAGAGAGCCCTGACTATGGTTCTCAGGGGCAAAGAGGATTGCAGAGACAGGGCAACCCTCATGTTTTTTTTTTTTTTTCCTGCCTCCCACTAGTTCATGTGAGAAGGGCCAAACTGCTGACTTGTTGGCCAAAGTCCACTTCTACCTCATCCACACCTGGAAACAGGCATGGCATAGAGGTAGAGACAGCTCGAGAAAGACCAGCACCCACCCTAGAGGCCATGCTCCAGAGTATGAGAGCGGAAGTGTCGCAAGGCCCTGTATACAGATAGCAGTGTGCACTGCACCCACAACCCCACTGCAGACCCCATGTTCTGTTCAGTATGCACAGGCACTCTTGGTGCACACGGAAGATGACCCTGCAGTTTTTTGTCTAGCTGCCCTCAGCGTCTCTGCTGAGGCCATGACTGTGGCACAACCAGAACTGCAGATGGACACAAGGCTGGGACTCTCTGGTGAGCACACTGGGCTGCTCCGGCCCAGGCTCTCTTAGGTAGGGGAGCCTTGTTACTACTTAACGACCTAAAATACTACTGGCTGTAAATCAGTCCTTGCTTCAAGGCTGTGGGCCCTACTCCATGTGGAGGAAGGAGCAGAACCTGGGTACCACCTGTATCTGAGGCCCAAACCTTATGGCTAGCAGCAGAGCCACCTCAGGGAGGCAGGCGTGAGCTAATGTCCCTGAGGTTTCCCCAGGCGCTCTCCCAGTAGGTTGTCCTCTGTAGGCATCCCATTGGTCAGCCCCTCCCTGACTAAGTCCCGGCCTGGGCTCAGGACCCTCCAGAAGGATCTCTGGCCACCAGTGGCTCTTACAACTCATGACCTCAGGTGCCAGGAATGCTCGCCGCAGCACCATCTGGTTCTGATTACCCATGCTAGGCTGCGGGCGCCTCAGCCAGGGATCTGTGTCCCAGTGGCTGGGAGATTGATTTGGGCTCCTCAGAGACTTTAGCAGGAGGATGTGAGGAAAGCACGTCTGAACCAATGTGGGGCTTGGGCCAGAGCAGGCGGCCATGTCCTGGTGCCATGGCACCAGAAAGGATGCTGTGGACTGGAGGCCATCTCACTGGCTCTCAGGGGTTAAGAATGACCTCAAATTGGCTTGCCTTGGCAGATTACCAGACACTCTCTTCACTGAGGCCTGGGCTGTACAGAACCAGGATCTCCCCAGCAGCTAGGACCAGCACTGGACTTGGCTCTGTGTGAACCAGCACTGGGCCTCCACCAGACTCCTGAGTCATCCCACCCTCCCCAGCAGGAAGGCAAGCTCAGCAGGGGGTGAGGCTCCCTACCTCCTTTGATGTAAGCGGCTGGGCCAGGCTCTGCCCACCTCACCCCAACTACTTCAGGCTGCAGCTCCCAGCTCCCTTCTGCTTTAACTTTTCGACTCATTAGTGGAGTAAAAGTTCATCTCTGGACTGGAGCATGCCCATAAATTAAGTCTCAAGTTCCAGCAGCTGTTTCCCAAACATGCAGGAAGATTCCAAGAAGCTTTGGGCTGGAAGGGCCTCTTCCCGGGTGCAGAGCACAAGAGGCCTGAGTAGGAGCCATACGATTCTTGCAGAAGCTGCCTCAGTGTCAGTCTGCTGCCTTCAGGATGACAGGTCAAGCCACAAGGGAATGGATGCTAGACCCCACAGGGTAGTACTGCTACCCTTTACCAGGTCTCCGGGGCAGGAGGTTGTGTGAAGGAGACCTCCAAGCCTATCTGCTCGGTTCAGCACCTTGTGAGGCGGGGACTCCTCCTCAGGCTGGAAACCCTTTCCTTTACAACGGGAAACCTGTGGGTCTGTCAGACACTGGGGGAAGGATAGCTGGATGGATACACAGGACAGTTTTACTCTCAATCCACTATGTGCCCAGCATAGCTGGACCCCAGGGATGGTCAATGCTCAGCGCTATGGATGTGCCTGCCTTACTGGTGGGGCTCACTGCCCATCTTCCCTTTCCTACTGGGCACTGCAGTGGGGAGGCCAAGCTATCTATGCTAACTCTGCTTCCCAGTGGGGCACTCTTGGATCTGCCCCTATGTGGCCACAATCAATGTGCTCAAGCCATGGCATGTCATCCTTGGTCACCTCTTACAGTTCCTCTCCACATCAGTCTCCTTCTGACCTAGGACTTCCCTTGGCCCCCTATCTACTGTCCACAATCAGTTCCTTTCCCAGAATGGCCTCATGGTAAGGGCCTGATTTGTACCCTGGGTGTAGTGATGACCTCAGGACCCTGGGTGCCTCCCAGTATCAACCTAGCCCTGACCTTCCCCACTCGCATGCCTCATGGTAACTCACTCAGACTGGAACCTGATGCGCTCAAACAAGCTGCAAGGCCCAAACTCGGCAGTGAGACTGCTGAGCAAGTCTCCCTCCCACTCTGGGAAGGCTGCAGTAATGACCTCTGAAGCCTCCTATTGGGTGAGGGAACCTGGACTCCCCCCCCCCCCCCCGGGAAGGCTGCAGTAATTGCCTCTGAAGCCTCCTATTGGGTGAGGGAACCTGGACTCCCCCCCCCCCCTCCCAGCTCTATCCTTGGTGCTCTAGGCAAGTCAATGAGGCTGGGAGCTAGGCTATGGGCACATGATACTCCATAGACCATGCAGCTCTCCCACCAGGGCTGTTTCCACTGTTGGGTTAAGGTCAGGTCTGTCTTCTGAGATGGCTGGGCAGGCTCCTTTCCCACCTTGAGTCAGGGTACCCAGACCACCTCTGAGGTCTTGGTAGCTTGTAGTCTTCCAGGCCTATTCAAAACCAAGTCCTGGATACATAGCGTAACCCCTGCCACAATCCCTCCATCCTAAATGGGGAACAAGCTAGCTAGGCCCATTATGCTGTACTCTGGGGGACAGAGGCAATCCTGGGACCATACCAAGTGGAATGGCTCACAAAGACATTGTGGGGCTGTCTCTATCAAGCCTTGCCCAGCCAAGGCCTTACTGCCTGGTAGACTTTCCTGTGACCCATGAGCAACAGTCTCCCTAGGACCAGTTTACAGATCCCATCAGGCCATGGCTTTGCAGGACTTGCCATAAGTTTTCTTTTTCTTTCATTAATCAGTTCCTTACTGACCAAACTGCTCTGAGTTTTCACAAAGGAGTTTGGTCTGCCTGGACACTACGTGCCTTTTTCCTAGATGGACAAGACTTGATGGCTGTTAACCCGAGGTCCAGGAGAAACCCAAACCATGTGAACAGCGAGCCCACGCCTACTGGCCCTTGCTCCTCTACTGCCTCTGAGTGATTAATTAGCTAGGGAACTGCAGCCGCTCCTCTTCATGCCTAAATATTGTTTCGGCCTATCAGACTGTTAGTGCAGAGCAGGATAAATGAGTCCTGGGCCTGTGCACTGACCTGCAGGGACTGCTGGCCGTCCAGACTCCAGACAGCCAGTACCTTCCCGGCAGAGCCTGAGACGCCCTTGGCCTTCTGAGAGTCGAAGTCAAGGCCCATGACAGGTTCTTCATGGCAGGCAATCCGGCTGCACACCTTCCGCTCCAGGATGTCCCACAGGGTTACCGATCCATCCTCATAGCCAGCCAGAAGGAGAGGGCGGGGACTGGAGTTAGTCTGTGGGGAACGACACAGTGGTTGGCTCCCATAGGATCTTGTCTTCAATGAGCTTTAGGGCTGTGGGAACAGCTCTCTCTCAAGCCATGCCTATAAGGGGGTTGGCCCAGTCAGAGAACAGTTCTTTTGCTTTCCATGTATCCTAGAAGCCTCCCACATGCCTCTCATGGGGCTGGCAGGGCCACTGCTAAGTACCTGAGGAGCTGGAGGTGGAGTGTAGAGCAGTCTAGGTGATCCCCAGGCCTCACACAGTCATACATTCCCCCCTACACTGGATCCTGTCCAAAGCAAGGATGGCATGATACCCACTGGCATCCACCAGCACCCTGGGGCAGTTAGGGACAGACTCAGACTTCTTCCTCAGCTCCTCTAGGTGTAAGAGTAGAAGTCACTCCTTGTTGAGACCAGTCATCCTCTAGAACCACCAGGCAGGAAAATTACAAGCTCAGTGAGAAGGAGTTTCTGAGCTTTGTTAACGTAGCTGGAGAAGCCCCCACCCTTGGAAGTTTGGTGTGAGAGGCCCTCACTATCGTGATGGATGAGGGCGAGGGTCAGAGGGCTCTGCGCCCTGGGCTGACACTCGTTTATTTAGCCTCTGAAACAACTACAAAAGAAGAGTGCTGCAGGATTCCAAGTCACCCTCAGGGACATGCCATCAGTCCCTGCACTGCACAGCAGCCCAAGAGAAACTGCACAGGGCTGCGCAAGGAGGCTCAGGCTAGCTGGAGGCCTATGGCATGTATCTAACAGACAGCACAAGGGCCAAGGCTCTCTGGGTCAGCCCAGGCTATGGCTGGACGTGTGGTATAGTATGAGCCTAGTGGGGGGTGGGGTGGGGCAAGGCCCACTGCAGACCAGTATCTGAAGGGATGGCAATAACAAGAAGCACACAATTACCAGACTTTCCGCAAGTACAGTGAACTTGCCAAGCCAGAGCTGCCACCAAGGGGACCTCTATATGTCCCCAGAAATGGCTTGTAAACTGATTGTGTCCTGCTGGTGATTCAAGTTCACACATACAAAATCGGAAGGAGTGAGGCTCCAGGGAGGGGACATGAAGCTTCCTGTGTTTTTCAGGGCAATTTACTTTTATCATCATCTTTAGCTGCTCTCCCCTAAGGCCAGAGCCCAGATTGTGTCCTTTGACCACAACCCTAAGAGGCAGGGTTGTCCCAGGTCTCTAAGTGTGTCCCGTACCTGGCACAATGGTTCTTCCTGGCTCTGCAGAGGCCCTGCCTGTGTTGCTGCACTGTTCCTGAGTTTTGTCACAGGGATGAGTTCCCTGCTGGTGTTTCTCAGGTCGTCTGCTTGCAAATGATTTGTGTAGGCCCACACAGTTTGCCCTATGGGCGGCAGAGCCTCCAGACACACTGCTTAGGCAAGTGGTTATGAGCTGGATCAGGGCAGGAGCAGCTCCACGTGGAAGAATCTCAGTACTGTCTGCACCCCAACCAGAAAAGCATGCCAACTCTTACCACTCTTAATCACCACTCACAGCATGGCCACCTGGCAGATGCTACTCCAGAAGCTCTCTGGAGAGAAGTGTCTCAGTGTCTCAAGGCTACAAAGACAGAGCCCTAGCAGTGGTCTGTGGTGACATCCACACCATCTCTATAGTTCTGGCTGTACTGGTTCTCTTCCCTGGGCTGTCCCTTGTTTTTTGTTTTTTTTTTTTCAGTCAGGGCAGACCAGAGCTCCCTTCATCATTGGTATCAGCCCTGGCTGGCATGCATGAAGCCTGGCTGAGTTCTGAGCAACATAGATTGTTCAGGGCTACTAGATAAGACCCCTCTGCCACAGTGCCACAGGGTGGCCGTGACAGGAGTCAGACTGGCCTAGGAGGTGCACCTGGTTTTTCATCCCCTGCCAGTTACCGCCATAGCACAGCACCTCACCACATCACTCTACTGGATCTGCCCTGGCTCCTGTAGCCTTCCGGGGACAGTGTTCTGATAGCCAGCAGCCTCTGGTGCTCACAGCCCTGATGCTGCCTCGCCTTCCTTAGCAGTTCCCCTCATCCCAGCTGGGACCTAGAGACAAAGATTGGCTCTGTAGCTTCTCCTGTCCTTTGAAGTACAGCCTGAGAGATGGTAGCAGGCCAGGGTCTACAGGAACCCCAGCGGTGTGTACTACAACTGAGCTGGAGAGGCTCCAAGACTCAGAGACAAGGAGCCTTCTCTGAGAGGTGGGTACTGATGATGTTAGGTCATGCCTGACTTACAGCCTGACAATTATTACTGTAGCAATGCAAGACAGCTACTTTAAAGTGTGAACTAAAGATGGACCTGAGTGTTTCAGAAAATACATCAGGTTGGGATACATTGCCACACTCCTAGGATTTCTGGATTTAGGAGAAAACAAAGAACATTCCTATAACCAGAGGCATTTTGCAGCTATGGGCTTCATGTTGGATCTGTATCACCAACAAAACCATGATTTGTCCTTCTGTCAACTATATTAATCACCTTAACAAGTTTGTACATCCCTTTCTACACATTTTTTTTCTTATGGAATTTTTACACGATTGGGCAATGACCCATGTTTTCCAGGGTGCAGAGTAGGAGGGGTGCAGCCGCAGATGCCTGTGCCAGGGATTATAAGTACTGTGGTCACCTCCTTGGATACTTCAGCGTAAGGTTGGGAGGCAGGATGAGGGTACATTTATTTTCCCAGTGAAGTGCCCAGAAACTTTGAGAAGCCCCATCTGGACACACTGAGGCCAAGAATGAGGCTCTGCTTCTGAGTCAGGCTGCAGACTTGTGGGCCCAGGAGCTGACGGTTAGGCTCTCGGGAGCCTTGACTCCCTGAAGGCGTTTCTCTAGAAAGCTGCACAGCAAAGGCTGAACACTAGAGCATCTTAGCAAAGACTTCAAATATAACTCAACCCTCTCAGTTAAGAAACTGCAAGGGGCTGGATAGATTGCATGGCGGTTAAAAGTACTGGTTGCTCTTGCAGAGGACCCAGGTTTGATTCCCAGTACCCACATGGCAGCTCACAACAGTCTGTAACTCCAATCCCGGGGAATCAGAAGCTGTCTCTTGACTACTGAAGGCACCAGACATGCAAGTGATGCATACACATTCATGTAGCCAAAATACTCATATGTGTAAGATAAAAATAAAAAATTAAAAAAAGGAAATGGCAACTCTGAGGCTTCTAGGATTCTTTTTGATGATACAGTAAATGGAAGTGACCCAGGAGGGGAAGATGCTGACCTGGATGTGGCCAGGCGAAGGCTTCACCTTGGGAAGCTCTGGGCCTGTTTATGTTTGTGGGGACTCCAGACTCCAGGCTGGGATGACTACCTGGGTCCTAGTTTTTGCAGCAGGCCCAGAAGATGGCTCCTGATCTGCCATCAAAAACAAAGGAAATGGCTACAGGTTAGACTTCCCCGGAATGGCTGGGGAAATGATCGTGCTAATGTTCCTGAGGCCTTTATAAGGTTGGGAAGTGGCAAAAGTGAATGCCCGGAACAGGGGGGTCCCTGCAGGCTTGCGGACAGTAGTCAGCTTTTCCCTAAGTCTCAGAAGAGCCAAGGACCAAGGTGCTGAGGAAAAGGGCATGTGTTCTTCTGGGAGCAAGTCCCACAGCTGACCTAACTGTCCCTTCCTTGCAGCCACATTTGGCATCTGTGAAGGGTGGGGACCTGTTGCCCTACAGCGTTTCTGTTGGGGTTCCAAACACTAGCAGCAGCCTAGGAGCAGCTTCTGTCCAGTCAATGCTGGGCCACAGAGGACAGCAGGTACGTGTCCTCTAAAGGAGAGTGCCCATAGATTTGATGACAAATCAAACCCTGAGTGGGGCATGACTCAGGACTGTTGGGTGTGGCTGGCGCACGCTGCCTTCCCTGCCACAGCCCCAGGCACATGGGCATGCCTGGCTTGGCATCTGCCTCCGGCTTCAGGGTACACACTGACGTCTTGGATGGCATCTCCAGAATCTGAACCTGACAGTGAGAAAACAAGCTGATTTGGGTTGATGCCAAGCCGAGTCTATGCTATGCAAACAAGAGACGTTTAAGGCGATTAGCCAAGGCTGCTGCGAGTTTCTGTCTGCTCCTCTCCCTGTAGGGACCTGAGAGCAGAGCTTCCTAATTAGTTTGCACAGGCTAAAGGGCTTAGATGCTCCTGGGGTCCTTGCAAAACAAATGCTCACATCATTCCTGAATGACCAGCCCTTCATCATCAAGCAGCTATGGCACGCCTTGTCCCAGTTTGTCATCTGGGCAAAGCAGGCCCAGCTTACTTGGTCCTGCCTACTCTGGCCATCCTCCTTCCTCCACTTGTCTCTCTTGCCTCAGGATTTCCAAGGGCTCTCTTTGAACAATCTCAGGCACACAAAATGATGCAAAATCTTGTGTAGAAGGCCTGAGACCCATCCAGTACCCACCTAGGGAATCAATATGTTGCAGAGCTAAGGCCAGCTCCACTTAGTCCTGGTTTCCTAGTACCCAAGCACCTGAGTTACCAGCCCAGACTACCTAGATGCCAGGCCGTCCTGGGCCTGGGCTGGGCCTTGTGACCCAAATAGCCCAGCTTCCCATGTGGATATGCAAATCCAAGTAGACTGCTTAATGTTGACCAGCACCATCCACAAGGATCAGACTGGACTGGTTTCCCAGACATCCTGTATCTAAGGTGATAACCTGGTACATTCATTTGGGGGGATGTGACCTCTCTTGTGAGCTCATCAGAACAGAAGGGCCCCACATGACATGCTGCAGCCCAGCACAAACCAGATGTTTCCTATGCCTTTTATCTGCCTGGGGTTCTACTATATTGTTGTGCCTATGTGTACCTTCTGGTATCATGTGAGCTGAGTGGATTCTGGAATCCCAGAGCTTCTCTAGATACCAGCAAGAGCAATTCTCCGTGGCAACTAGCAAGAGCATGAATACAAACCTGCTTAGAGTAGCCTGGTCTGCACACAAGGCATCAGAGCTTTGAAGGGATGGAGGTATTAACTGGACAGCATATACCCAGGATATGCCTGGGCAAGTAACAGCTGTGTTGTCTCTACCAACCTATGCCACATAGAACCTTATCTGTCACAGCCACAGAGATGATTCTATATCAGCCATCTGAGTCCTACGGGGTTGGCTCCAGGACAGCTTCTAGGCAGTGCAGAGTGCCAAGCACACAGCCTAGTCCTTCAGTTAAGAGTCCTGCTGTGTACCCACTTCTGATAAATGGGGGCCAGGGTCCTCTCAGGCAGGGTAATCTCACCAGAATTTCCATAGTAACCGGATGTCTAATGGCCAAGTTAAGTACTAGGAATGGCTCACAGCTCCCTCTCTCACCTGTGGCCGGCGAGTCTTATAGCCCCTGCCCCTGCAGTGGGCTATAAGGAAACTTGCTCGGGCCTTTAGGAAACATACTGGCATCTGAAGAACTCTTGGCTGTCTGTGGGAGGTGGTAGGGAGAGTCCCAGGCCATAGTGATGGTGGAGAGCAAGGCATCAGGGTGGCTGTCACAGCTCCAGGGACAGGTGAGCAGGAGAGTTCCTGAAGATTACCGTGAGGCAGTACCAAGTGACCAGAGGGTTCCAAGGGCTGGTGACTAGTCAAGACTGCACAGCAGACCCACCAACAAGGGTAGAGGAAGCAGAATCCACCAAGGGAAGGGGAGCCCAAGACATGGGAAGGGAGTGTGTATGGAGGAAGCCAGGACAGAGGGTAAGATAGAGGAGGCAGGACTGCTACAGGGGAGTAGAGTGTGGCAGAGGGCCAGCAAACATGCGTTAGAGTTGCTCCGGGCCAGAAGGTAGAAAAGGGGAGGGGGCTCCTATCCACAGTCCTGTCTTCTCAGGCCCATAGTCCTCCACAGCCAGAAGCACCGAGTAGGCAGCTCCTGCTGGTGCTGGCAGATCAGGCCCATGCACTGGGTTAGGCTTGGCTCCTGCCCAAGAAAAGTCATTTTGTCTCCAAGCAGATCTAGTTCATAAATAATGAGATAGTAACAGGCATTTATTTGTTCATGATTGCATTTAAATCACCAATTAGGAGCTACATACACTTTTCTGGCCAGTTTGCCAAAAAGCTGTTAAAAGTTTTATTAATGTGAGGGGTGGGGGAGTTGCTTCCTCCTGTACAGCGGGCCAAGCAGCACCAGGTCACCCCAAGCCACAGACCCACAAGACGCCACTCTGAGGGTTAAGAGAGCTCAAGCTACTCTCACACCGTTCATCAGTTACATCTTCCTCTGTGGAGATCACAGCTTCCTGGCTCTAACCCGCACTGCAGGTGGCATTGTATTTTCAAAACAATTTTTATTACATTTATTTACTCGTCTCTCTGTGTGTGCATTTGTGTGTGTGTGTGTGTGTGTGTGTGTGTGTGTGTGAATTTCTGTGACACAGTTCTCTCACCATACAGGGTCTGGAAATTGAACTCAGGTTGTCAGGCGAGGCAACAAGCACCTTTACCCGCTAAGCCATCTCAACAGTCAGACTTTGTATTTTCATAATCTGCAAGCACACCCTGGGCAAATGGTTGTTTTCCAGTCTGCCTGGAATCTGCCTAAACTGGGCCCTGGAAAAGCATAGCTGGCTTAGGCCCAAACAATGCCCGGGAGCATGCTCCCACCCCTCACGGCCGTCTGGGTGGCCACACTTGCCCAAACCTAGCATTTTTCCTTCTGGAAACAAAAGCTGGCATGGATGCCAGATGGAAAGATCCAGTGTCTGTAGGAGGCTCCATGCTCAGGGAGGCTAGGCACTGCTCTTTCGGCTCCCAGAGGCCTGGAGAAGCAGGCTAGACAAGGTAGCTGCCCTGGGTCTGACCCTGGGATCCTGTTCTCCTGATATAGGATGGATGCTGTGCTTTCTACACTCTCAATACATATCTCAGATTGGGCTCTAGACAGTCCCAGGTTCACCAATAGCTCCTATCTGAGGCCCCTCTACTATCTAGCCTCTCCTTGCTGCCACAATGGGGTCTTCCTGGGCGCTCAGGTAGGGACAGTCCGTGTCATGGCCAGTGGGCAGTGCAGATTTTGTATCTGTGACTTTTGCCTCCTAATGTACCACCCTTCCCAGAATGTACAAGTAATGGAGTGCAGCTTCTCTGCCCTTTGGGTTGAAGCACAGCCCTGGCCTTTTGGCTGCTTATCACTGGCCATGCCTTGTACCCATAATGCTGCATACAAGGTGATGGCGATTCTATAGGAAGAAGCCCTGAGACAGGGTTAGTTTACTCTGACAGAAAGCAGAGGGTCCTGGTGTTGCTGCATGGATCCATCTCCTGTACTGCCAGTTGCTTTGGCCTCATAGCTGCTGAGCTGCAGTTTTCAGATCTTTTATCCGTTTCCTTTTCTTTTTGCCAGAGTTTGTGGAACTGTTTGTTTCACAGAAGGCTTGGGTGCCCAGTAGTTCCTCTGGACCTCTTCTTACCTCCAGACTTGCTCTCGTTCTGGCTCTGTACCCCCTTCCCCAAGCTTGTGGCCACTCCTGCCCTCATTCAGCCTCCAGAACCTATGTTTTCACCTGTTTGTGAAGTCACCTGTTGTGTCCCTTCTCTTCACTGTGTCACTATATTGGTGTCTCTTTTACCTCTTTCAACAGGCTAGCAGTGCACCAAGGCCCCAATTTCTGGAGATTCCTCTCTGTATACATACGTGTATATACATGAATATGTGAACAGACAGGTATGCTTGTGTGTGTGTGTGTGTGTGTGTGTGTGTGTGTGTGTACACAGCCCTGAGTGGCCCTTCTCCCAAGAACAGCATGATGCTGAGTACCAAGGTCTGCCTGAGCCCTTCCTGATTCTCACCATTGCCCTGGATGGATACGAGCTCACAGAGGACCAGGCTGCGCATCAGCCAAGGGCTGCTGGAGCTGCAGTGAAGCAGGCAAGTTGCAGAACTGCAGCTGACAGAGTCCTGTGGCAGCACTGGGCCCTCTTTACTGAGGGAGGACAAGTGTGCCTGCTTAAGGCAAACCCAATGTCACTAGTGCATGGAAGGGAGCACCAGAGAGCTGGTCCTTACCTCATCGCTGCCCTTCCCAGGTACAGCAAGCATCCAACATAGCTGTCCCCTGGCCAGGACAGAGCTCTTGCAGAAGCCCACACTGTCCAGCTGAACTGTGTCCATGATGGTGTTCCTGCCCTCTGCCAAGTCCCACAGGCACAGCCGCAGGTCCCGGCCCTGGCTGATAAAGCAAGGGGAGGGTTCTGTGAGACACTGTAAGCATTATGTACCCACTTGGACCAGCATCTGATCCATTGCCCTTCAATGCTGAAGGTGGCCATGTTTCCAGAAGGTGTCCAGGTAAGCTTTGCACCATCCAGGCTAGAGGCCTCAGGTCAAGAGGGCTTCTCCCTCAGTGTTCACAGCTGAGTTGGCATATACAGCACTGAAGCCAGGATGTTCAGTAGATTAAGAATGTGGACACTGAGGCATGCACCTGTGATCAGCCTCCTGCCACTCCAACGCCACTGAAGTATATACCCTGCACTCCTTTCTTCTCTGAAAAGTGTCTTTAAGGACTCGGAAGTCTCACTCGGGTCTCTTCATTCACTCAGAATGCCATGCAAGCATGCTGACAGCAGCTCTAGGCATCACCACGAGGAAACAATCCAGCTGCTCTGCAACAAAAGAATGGCAAAGTATGCTGTGCCACAGAGTGCCACTCAGCAAGGGACGGCGCCGACTGCTGACACATGCAGCAGCTGGAAGGAAGCTGAGCCACAGTTTGCTAAGTGAAAGAAGCCAGATCTGAAGGTTCTGCAGCATGTAACCATAGTCCTGTGACATTCTAGAAAAGGAATGGGCACAGGGACGGAGAACCAAGAGAGAACTGACCACAGTGGGTAGCTCTAGGCTTTGTGGGGTGACAGGCTGCTTCATGTGGCCTTGGGGAAATGGATACATGGCAGTGCTGTGCCAAACCCACAGACCCACAGACAGTGTGACTGTCATTGTGCACAGTGAAAACAGCCCCTGCTGGTTGAGCAAGAGCCAGGAGCCTGTGAAGGACCGCATGTGACTATGTGGGTGACTGCGCCCTCGTTCAGGAACACAGATGGAAGCTGACCTGAGGCACATGGAGAAGTGCTGACTGAAGCCTGGAGGCTTAAAGATTCACATAACTGTAAAAACAGTGGCCTTGAGCAGGCCTGGATCCTTACAGGCCCTGCTTCTGCCCTCTCTGACAGAGCAAATACTGGAGCCAGGAGTGGATGTGGGTCCTTCCCAGAGAGCTGTGGGTCCCGTCAGAACCTACAGGTCAGTGCGAGCACGTGTGTGGCCAGACACACATGATAGGACACATGGCTGAAGACGGATGAATGTGACAGCATAGGCAATGCAGATCCAAGTCTCTGTCCCCCTGTGCCACCCATGGACAGCCCAGGACTCAAACCCATTACTTTTCTAATCACAACATCCAGGTTTCTGGAGAGATGTTGATTCTAGGGCTGAAGTAAGGGAAAACCAAGATGGGGTTCAAGTATCTCACAGTGTGGGAAGTAAGGAAGCGTTAAAACAAATGAGACAAAAGATGCTACAGGCAATGAGCCCTTTAAGAAAAGGGAAGGCAGGGACAGCTCTTCCTCACAGGTTCCTCAGTTCTGATTAAAGGAGTATTCTACCAACAGGAGTGAGGCGGTATTAGGGAAACAGTCCCATGAGAATACACAAAACAGGACTACTTCAGGCAGAGGCCACTGCAGGAAGCTAGCAGTAGTGGGGAAACCAAATATTGGCACAGGCTCAAACTGTCCCCAGAATTTTCTAGGGCCTGTGCTGGCTTTAACCGGCCTGGATGCTCTTGGACCACCCCGCCCCACCCTGCCCCTCTATGACCTGCTTTTCAGGAACCTAAGAAATACTATGGGCTTCTTTTTTTTCCGTGTGTGTGTGTGTGTGTGTGTATGTGTGTGTGTGTGTGTGTGT